TCGCTTAAGTTTCGTCGGAACGAAGTTACGGAAAATTAATTAACAACAGGAGACGTAACAATATGTTACCCCCCAGTAGCTCAGCGGTAAGTATGAGGGCTTGTAACTCTCTAAATTGGATTTTAATACTTGTGGTAGGAACAGCACAGATAGTCATTTGTGTAGCCTTGTGCTTTACAACAAACAAGAAAACATTTTATATATAAAAAAAAATCTGATCTAGAAGTTATAGTGCACAGTCAAATGAAAATGTAAATTTTGGTAACAGTGTACTGAAAACGTCTTGAAAATATAAAACTTCTTGACCTATGCATCCCAAGATATTTTTTAAGTCATTTAAACTAAGAGACAATTATCAATAAAAAATCTAAACCGATATTTAGTTCACAAAATTAGATGAAGCTACATAGCTTTTAATCACATTACTGGCAATGAAAAATAAAATTACATTTTATGAATTGCAGGACTTGTCATAGAACTTGAATTATCATATATATAAAGATATATATATATATATATAAATAATAAATGCATAAAAATAACACATTTTGAATTATTTTAATAAATTATCTCCCATTATGACAGTTTGAAACTATGCTAGCAGTTTAAAGCTATCTCATAACTATCATTCTTAATCTTCATATAAATCAAGGACTGTGGTATTTAAGTAGAATTGATTTTTTATGGAAGAAAACAGAAATAATCTAGTTTAAATTCTCAGTTCTCTGGAAATGTTTTACAGATTCATTTATAGTTTATACTCTAAACTAAACCTAAAGAAATGTCATTCAATCAAATCACAGATTGTGTTTCCTCCACAGAGCTAAAGCCCAGCTGGTTTTCACATGTAAATGACAAACTAATTATTTGTGCATCTGATGTAACATCCTTTACTCACCTACTAATACTCTAAAATAGTTTAGGTGTTTGAAATCACACCTTTTGATGAGAAAAAGAAAAATTCACACACACAACTAATTATGGCTAGTTTGTCAAGACATTTTTTATCCATAATATATTTAGTAAATTTCCATGTCAGATGAGTCATATGACTATTAAACTCTTGCTTTTTCTTAACCCTAACCAGCATAGGAATCAAAACACTCATGACAACTTTATTGAAATAATTACCTGATGCTATCCTGGCATTCTTATATTACACAATGATATGTTTGATAATAAATACAACAAAAATACTTTAAAAAGTGCAACTTTCTACTTTTTAATCAATATTAATATATCTCCTAGGTCACTCAATAAAGCTTAAAAATAATTCTGTTAATATTTACATCATAGAGCAATAACTTAGTGTTGATTAGAATGTTAAATATATCTACTTTTATTTTTTTATTTCTAATCTTATTTTTACTATTTTATTATAATGATTATTCTCTATTGTTAGCTTAGTATATGGATTTGGAACTAGTCTAAGCCTCCGGGACAGGCCAAGACTTGAGATATTGGTGTTACTGTCAAAACTATCGTTAACAGTATGGGTACCTAAATGATGAAACAATGCCTTCTAATCATTATGAGTTATACAATTTGAACATTATATTTAATCAGCTATGTTCATTACAAGGTAGCTCGCTTTAATCAGAAGTAATTAATTACTAAAGTTAAGTCTTATACCACTAAACATTTTGCTAAGATGTAAAACAAATACAATTCAAATCACTGATGTGGATATCCAATTCTTTACTCCTAAATATTCACAATATACATCAGTTGAGAAGTGTTGAAAAGTGCATCAAAATTGAGCTTTACCAGATACTGTTAAAATGTTCGGCTTAGCATATGTGACTACATCAGTCATACTTGAAAAAATTAAATAAAGTGAAATTTAAATAATTGAGTATATTTCTTTAATCACAAGCATATTACTGCACAACTGATATAGTCTTCCAAGCAGATGAACAAAGCAGAATATTTAAATTTGCGTAAAAGGTTACAATGAAATTACTTCCTATAGGGTTCATTGACAACTAATTATTAGACAACTGTCAAATTTTTTCAAATATTTATATTAATTCCCTTGACAAATGTGGAAATGAACACGACAAAGCTTAAGCATTTGTCAGAATCAGTTACTTTATAGGATTCTTTAAGCCTAACCTATAGTCCACAAAGGCCTACTGAAACAGTCTAGTCCAAGTAAACAAGTTGAATATGATATCTGTATGATGCCAATATGCTGTATCATTACTTTATATGGCTTCAATTAATTTTTTTAGTATAAACATTAATATTAAAAATTGTTTTACCTAGTGTGTTTTTTTTAACAGTTTTTTTTTATTACAGTGTAGATCATTCTTGCTGGTTCTGTAACTTAAAAATATTGTTTATTTGTTGGAATGATAAGATTATTTGGGATTGGTGATGCAGTGCTGCTAATAGTTGAAAATTACCAAGAGAATTTAATGTCAGCAAATGTGAAGAGCTATTTTAGTGACATGAATATCCTATATTAGCTTTAAAATAGTAAAGTGACACTTTTGTAGTGATATTTTGTTCTGACTAAACATGACAAACTTATGACTGGTAGCAAAATTCATACACACTCGTTTGGAAGTTTGTTCATTACCATGAAAATGCTAAAACAAGCACAAGTATTATTCAACTGAATACACAATGACCATGAGAACCAACATTTATTAAACACTTGTCCTACATGCTTGTAACTGTGAAGGAGATAATTCAAGAGGAATTAGGCCAAAGACATTGTCACTCCTCTATTTATTCTCACCATCAGCATATACAATGCCCATCCAATTTGCTTTGATGAAACTAATACTACAAGTGAGAAAGATACATTTCATCACTTTTCACTCCACATTATTGAGTGCCAGAAACCAATATCAAGATAGCATTACTATACTCATGGAAAGAATATTGCATGACCAGAAAAGAAAGTTTGATTGCTTATGCAATTTATTCAAACAAAACCCCATTTTTTTAAAATCTCTATATATACAGGACTTCTTTCACAAGCTGCCCCAAATCTATTAATTTTTTGGCCAAAAGTAACCAGAAAAAGCCTTCTTAGCATTAAGAATATGGACAAAAACAGAAAACCAGTCTTAATAGAGAAGCTTGTCACTTCTTCATGTTATCTGGTGATTCAAGTAATATTTAGAATGAAGAAATAATATATTTTATGGTAACTACTCAACATCCACTTATTCACCAACAAAGTTTACACACTGCAAATTACTGTTCAGATCAATTCTGAAATATTATTATTGAGATAGGACCACAATGAAAAATGTTGAAAACTGAATATTGACACATCACCTGCTTCGAGTGTAAAGCTCATACAATGCAGCTATTAAATGACAACATAGAGAACCTGAAAATATTCTTATCATATCTGTATAAAGACAGAGGAATTGTTAAATTCTTTAAAGGGAAATGAGTGTAAGTTGTTGTTTTGAAGTACCAACTACTCCAGCAGTCCAGTGCCGTAAAATTTAGTAAATCTTGTGGAACTCAATGGCCCAAAGATTTTTAAACCTTGAAGAAAGCTTCTCTAAGGTCAGTTGCTCTAGAAAATAGTTCATGCTTGCTTTCCTACAGATCCTTGATAAAGTGTTGTGTTTGTGAAACTCTAAAATCAGAGTTCTTTCACCCTGTGCCACAATCAACTAAAAGGATAGAAGTAGATCACAGCAATGTTGTTTTATGTCAAGCAAGAATTCCTCACCATACAATGACAGAAGCATAAGCAAAAAAAAAAAGTAGTTTACACATCAGAGTTGAGAAGAAACAGATAAGGGATAGCATCCATCAATGGTCAATCAAAATATCATTGACTTGATACTAACAAAAGGGTCTGAAAGAGAAGGAATTTGTTTTAGCATGTACTCTCATTGTGGCTGTGGCCAATTTCCAAGGTTATAAATATCAGCTAAGTGTTCTTACACAGTTGGCTAATTTTAAAGTAAGAAACGGCCCATTTAGTTGCAAACATATGTGGTATACCATACCTGCCAATGGAATCTAAGGAACTTTTGTAGTTAGAATAGTGGAAAGGCATATGTCCTGTATGTATTTTAGGAAATTGTTACTAACATCCTGTTATTTTTCCTTGCATCATAATTTGTGCTAAATGCAACTGGTGCATTTGAGAAAATATATTCTTTAAAACTACAACCGATGAAGACAGTAACAGTCTATCACAACCAGTTAATGAAAAATATCCCATAAGAAGCCAAATACTCATTTTTGAAAGGTGGCAACTCTTGAAACTGGTGAAGAGGAGAGATATACAGAAAGACAAAGCCGTAAAGATACCATTCGATTTGTCCAAGACACTGTTTTGTAAGGTGTTAATTTTGGGGCAAATAACACAGGCCTGCAAATTTAAACTTTATAAAAAATGTTTTGGTTTTAATAACAGATTTTCCATAATTCAGCTATGCAAATTTAGAAAATAATATTCATCTTCTCTATCATGTAAGGATGTTTTGCAAATGGAGAAGAAAAAAAAAAACTCTCATTTAGATCAAATTATTATTTTGTTTATCATAATGAAAATTTTTATTATTATGTTTGTTAATAAAAATACAAACAAACTGAAGGAAAAAAAAAATGATGTCAAACGAATATGCATCCTCATTCATCTTGATTTTTTTGGTGAAGTCTACATTTTTTAGTCTCAAAACTACATGTTGTGGTCTTTCTTTTACATATTGTGTTACGACATTTTTTGTGGAAAATCTGTAGGTGATAGAGAAAAATAGATATTTTCAGATTCAGCATACACGAATTACTGAAGAACACGTAAACATTTCAAGACAATAAAACCATCGCAGGCCTGTGTAATTAATCATATACAGTCTTACTACACCATAAACTGTAGTTAACTAAATTTTGACATAGAGAAAAATATAGAATAAAACAACAGTTAAAATAGCTGGAGATATTAAGATTTAAACAAAGAGTTTTACTGTATTCATTACTGAACATAAAATTACAATAAATGAAAATAAAAAATACTTCTGTTTGATTTCTAAACAACAAATTAGGATTTAAGAATATCTTTGTAAGAAGACTCAAATATTTTCTAGCATGTATAAGGTAAAAACAAAATGTAAATAAAGTTCAATAATATTTCTTTGACCACAGAAATTATTCAACAATGTCTGATCATTGTTTAATGTGTCAAATGGCACCAGCCAGATACTCAATTCTCACTCCCAACAATCACCTGGTTAAAAAGGCACAAAGCACACACTTATTCAATGTCTTTTTAATACTTTGTAACAATTTTATCTTTATGAACTTTAATTACATACTTTATTACTAGCTTAAATTGTTAATAACTTTTAAATGAAAAGTTTTTAAAGTATTTTTATAGCAGTACCTTTATTAAAAATGGTTTTAACCTTTAGTATCAAATTTATTTATTTTATATTGTTTGATACTCCTGCTTTTACTCTTGTAAATGTATGTACAGACATATATAATATATGCAAACTGATGTATCTTAGGTAGGTTAAGACCAAAATCTTTATTGATTCTATTCTTACTACATTTTAAGTCTCTTATTAAGTTTTAAAAACGTTGGTATTAAACTATACATTTCAAGTTTTTTCTTCACTTGACACACATAAAAGGTATTAATTTTATTTCTATTTTGCTTTTTTCTCTCTGCAATATTTTCTACAGAAATAAAACAAAACAAATATTTTATATATCTATCCTGTCCTGACAATGGCCTCCATTAAAAAGCATTAAAATTATTCAGAACACTTTCCCCAATATTTTTCTCTCTCTCCATTGACAGCTTGAGTTTGATGGAGGTCACTGTAAGGTCAGGAATATACAAAAAACAACACTGCAATAATATATCAAACAAAGAATACAAAAAAAAAAGAAAGAAAAAGATATCACCACACACAAACCACTCACCGATCGAAAGGCCTGAAGCGGAAACAGCAAACACCAACCACAGGGAGAGCAGGAAAGAGCACAACAACAAGTATTAGTTACAACAGATTTCACAACACCAAGAAATTTACACAAAACAACATGCTACAATATCATTAGTTAAACAAATGGAATATGCAGCAACGTTAACAGCCCTTGCATATCATAACAAACTTAAGAGCTCAAGCATACAAATTAGAAGTGCCAAGCAGAACAAATGAGGAAAAACAATAGCAACACTATGTTTCATTACAAAATATTTACATAAATACTTACCACATATTACACTCAACATAAAAACAAAAAAAAAAAACATGCTCACACAAGAAGATATATACATTGCGCTCACCTGGTTTAGATGTTGAAATAAGAGCCATGGGTCTGAAGGAAATTAAATTACTTCAGTACTAGAACAGAACTATACTGCACTCTCTTCACAATTTTAGTGTTTTAATATCACTGAATATGGCTTTGGTCCAAATACCTCTGTATGCTTTTAATGCTCTATTTTGAATAAAAAGAACTATGTTATGGTATTCAACCATCAGATTTTTGTGTTGCTATAAACATCCTCTTTCAGTCAACTGAAATATTATTTCATTGTTTGACTTTTTGTCCTGCTATACCATTCTACCCTCTGACTTTTGTTTACTCATGAGAAACTGTATTCCAATATACTGTTCTACATGTGGAATTTTGTTTTAATCTTGATAAACTTAAATATGCTACTGTTCTAACTGCAAATCTTATTTATTTTAGTTAATAACTATGAATTCTACTATAGTGTTTATCTTCTACAATTTGTTTCAACCTTAATAAACTAAATTCTGTGCTGATATGGCATACTTTACTTCCTAGAAACTGAACTGTGCAATAATGTTCTATGTCCTCAGTTTTGATTTACTTTCAACAGATTATATTTTATAATTTTGCTCTATCCTCTGAATTTTGTTTTAGTTTTGATAAACTGAATTCCATTACATTGTTTTACGTATGAAATTTGCTTCTGTAAATTGCATTCTTGATATTATCCTATTATCTGAATTTTGTTTTGCTATAACAAACTCTGAACACTGTTATAAAGTTCTACTATCCTCTTGAAATTCTATTTGATCTCAATGAACTAAAATATTCTGCTGAGATGCTAAATAAGTTTTACATCTATTAACCCTACAAAGTTATAAGCAACTACCCTGCTGAGAGACTACACGTTTCACAACTACTATTACCCTCTAAATTTAAACCACACTGCTGAAGGATATATGTTTTACTTCTGTTACCTGTAAAAGTTAATCAGCTACCTAACAGTGAAACTAATTTTAGAAAATTAAACTTATGTTAACGTGTATGTACCAAACCACTTAAACATCTGAAAAATGGTAATGGCTTAAATTTAATGTTCTCCTTTATAAGAAAACATTTTATAAACTTCTTTGCCCACTGTGTTTTCAGTTAAAAAACTGTAGCGGTTTGATGTTAAACAAGTAACTGTTTTACACTCTGGTAATATAATTTGAATAATTAAATTAAAAAACAATCTTGTTGAAGGACTGCAAATTTTATTCAACCTTCATACAACTGGAAGACAGATTTTATAAACTTACTTAGCTCACTAGATATCAAAACAGCAAAAACTGAAAGGATCAACCATTCACTTCAAAATGTATTAGTCAGTTTGATTAGCTCTATAACAGTACTGACGAAAACCTACCTGAACCATTGGCTTTGTTTTGTTCATGAACCTTAAAATGCATCAATCAGTAATAAAAGTACCATTATTAAACACAGCAGCTAGCATTAGCACTGCTTAAAGATAATATATTCATGTAAAAAAGATACTTTCAAATAAGATGAATGGTTTAAAGCATCTACAGCTATTCATGCTCATAAACAAGCTATTTCACCTATACTACCATAAGTCTGAATAATTCAAGAATGATGCGATTCTCTAAAGAGAATTACAGTAACCTTCGATAACAATGAAAAAAGTATAATGTCAAAATATGTCATCATGCTCTTCAAATACACAAATCATTGATTAAAAACTAGCTAAAATCTTTTTTAAGTTCAAAAACAGGATGTAAAATACAATCAAGTCACATTGTCATTAAAATAGTGGTTATAAATTTTTAGTTATTCTATAAGCAAGGTACCATAAAATATACCAGGATACTGAAATCATCAAAACAGGATTAGTAGCAAATACATCTGTTTACATTTAGTGACTTTTTACCATGAGGAAAAAAAATACAGAAACGTGCATCAAAATGACAATAATTAAATTCTGAAAATCTTTTTTTTTCCTGTTAAAAAAAAATATTAACAAGAACAGTTTTTGAACAGACAGGAAGGATTGAAGGTAATATACAGAATATAATACACAGTCAAAATATTGTTTACAATACCCATAGAGTCAGGTTGTGATTATTAAAAATGAATTATTCCTAATGCTTTTCAGTACTTAAGCCAAAAACATATACAACAGAAAGCATTCAATAAAAATTTTGTATTCTGTTTTTGCTGTAAAGTAATTTCAGTGTTGGGAAGTGAAGGGCTACTGACTAAATTTACTTCTAGAATGATAGATAAAATTAGATATTCTTTGATAGTTTGTTTAGGTAGAGTATTAATGATGAAGTTTAGTTGAATGGACAGCAACTGACTGTTATACAAACAACAGCATAGAGGACAATGTTTCAAAAGACTTTCAAAATGTTGTCTTCCATACTTGTGTTTATACAAGGCAGTTGGCATCCATTCAACTAAATTTCATCACGGAATTAGATGTTTAAATTAGAATAACAAAGAAACTTGGGATCAGTAAAATATCTTTTAACTCTCTCAACATGGGCTCAGTCTATTTGACTGACCACGTGACCTCTTTGTACTCGTATAGTCTGTATAGATTTGATACTACTAATTTTTAACATATTATGTATATTTTCACAAAATTTGGAGGTCTTTCAGTAAACATTACAAGTCCTTCACAAAAAATCATATTTTTTTGTGTAGTGTTTTAAATAAACTAAAAAATTTTTGTCTGTAAATATATCAAGTATTTGTTTTCAATAGTCCCTGTGTAAAGTGGTTTTTATGTTAAGATTAAAAATACTTTTCTTCATCTCAGAAATCTCAGATTTGATTTGTGTAATCTCTAAAACCTCTAAATACATTTCAAATGTTTGTTTTCAGTAAAACTTTAAATTTCGTCTGTTATTTTCTCTACCCTAACTCTATATAATGTTGGTCCACATAACCATCAACAAAAAAAAAACACCCCAAAATAAATCTAAATTATACTTTTTCTTTTTAGAATGACTTCAAATTGTAACACGAAACAATATTTGTTTGTCCTAAGTAGCTTAAACTTAACGCTATTTATAATTGAAATTTATTGTTCCATTGCCTTTTGAACCCTGTCTAACTACTATTCGCACCAGTATAAGTTTTAAATCACTTGGGTTATGCTATTGAATTATGTTACCCATGAACTACTCGCTTGCGTGCCTCATGAAATATTTTTATTATATTATTATTTATTTTATCTAATCTAACCTTAACTAATCTAAAGAGATTCCTATTTTTATATTTTAGTTACTTTTATTATAATAATAAATATGAAAAACACGAAAAAAGCATTTACCCGATTCTTCTATTTTCTTGTTGTCGATTGTCGATGACACTTACCCTTACTTTTTTTTTTTATACTAATAGTAGTAATGCACAAAATTTTTAAAAAATTAAATAATGCACCAAAGAACATAGAATAATAACGTATAAAAGTAGATAATTTCCCCTAACTATCACAATTTTTGTGGCTTTCAAACTATGTGACAAGAACCATTACAAAATCATCCAAGCTAGTCGTTTTCTTTCCTGTGGGAACAAAGCTTGTACTAACAATGAAACTGACAATTCTCTGTTCAGAAAACAATGTTATATAATATGTAATTTGATAAATGAAAACCTTGGCTTTCTATTGGTTATAAATAATATATAATTAAATGTAAGAGAGAACTATTAACAAATCCTGAAAGAGAGGATGTGACAGGAGGGGTCCAATTTTCTATTTGATAGCTCTGTAACCAAACAAAATTGAAGGGTATAATAATTATGGTTTGTTTGAGCAATGACAATTTTATAGTTAGTAATTTATGTTAAATTCCATACTTATTGGAGGGGTAGTGGATAAAATACAGAAGAGGAGATGCCTAGAGAAAATGTATCACACTAGGGGAAATTAAGGATTTTTGTTTATAAATATTGCCTTATAAATTTAAAAACTTAAAATGTATATACTATTAAAATATGGATTATTAGCTATGATTTTATGTTATACTAATTGGTATAGAATGTAAAAAGTAGATTAATTAAATTTTGAATGTAAGTCACTAAAACCTCGTGACATGTGCAGTAAAGGATGGCCATTGCGAGAGGGTTAATTACAAATAACAACAAAAACAAAACACTTGTATTAGTCTTAACTGATGTAAATAATAGAAAAAAAGTTATATTTTATAAATTTAATAAGTAAATTTAAATTTTTGATATTCCCACAAACTACTCTGACAACAAAGAAACTACTTGAAAAGTTCAATTTTCATAATCTTTATCAACATCAATATGCCTAAATGGTTTATACATTTTTACCCTCTACCAGTGGATAGTTCTACCATTAAATCTATCTGATGTTACACTATGTTTGAAAACACTATTTAAAAACAACAAAAAATTATTACATCTATCTGTTCACTTCAAAGCAGACTAACAGAAGAGGTACTGAATAAAATTTCCTAACTATATAACCTAATAAGTATATAAACTGTCATCTAACAATTATCAAAATGTGTTTACATTTAAGATATATAATTAGGGCCAATTAGAGGAGAGTGGGGTGGAATTGGCCAAGGCCTCAAATTTAGACACTTATTCTTTTTTTTTTTTTGCATTTTTAAGTTTTGTGACTCATTTTTATGTGCCCCCCAATCAGATCAAAATGTGACACACACTCAGCTTAGAGTTACAAGTTATTCAAATTATGTTTCACTTTTCTTTTGGGCTAATGACTGACTTGTTTTGTTTTCAATGTGTAATGTGATACCTGAGAGTGCTGGCACATAATATTTAGAATTGATACATTAAGACTTTCTTTGATCTGTTACAAATGTTCAAGATGTTTTTGCTTGTATTTATAATTTTATAAAATCTTATAAGTTTTGAAAAATTTGAAGTTCAGAAATATATGTAAAATAGATATATGATAATATGAAACATTTCTATTTTAAGTTTTGTTGATACAAGTTTCTCAATTCTCTTTCAATTTGTTTTTAGTTAATTTTTCTTGATTTTTTATAAATATTTTGATCATAAGCAATCTTGAAAAATAAATGTTATAGAAAAAATGTAAATGCATTTTAGAAATTTTACAAAATACTAATTTTTCAAAAATCATGCTCTTCAAAGTGTTTTCTAAAAAACCATATACTAGAAAAATACAAGCTTACAGTTTTCACCAAGAATTACAAAATACATTGAAATATCAGACCTAGATATGCTTATTTAAGTAGTTAAGTTGCAATTTAGAACTTGAAATTTTTTAACAGCAAAGTTCATGTTATACAATAATACTTTGGGCATGTATGTGTGTGTATACTTTAAATTTAGGTGAAAATAATTTTTACACCAAATAAGGAACATTCCAGTGAGGTAGATCTGAACATGATTTTCAAAAGTTACTTTTTCCTAAATTATAAGAAAATTAAATTATATAATTCTTATGACAGTTTTAGTGTGTTTTTCTGTCAATCAATAAAATATGCTAGTCATATTTTTGAAGAGTACAAAATCTGCTAGTAAGAGGTTTTACTAACAAAACTTGACACAAACTCCATGTGGCTTTATAACTACTTATGTTCACAGGCAAGTAGAATAAACATGTTCTTTCATACAAAGTACAAAAGATGTACTGCTTAAAAAGCTGTCCAATAAGAAAAATTTTTTTATAGTACTGACTATTCTTTTTGCTATATATGAAGCACAAAAATCTGTGTTGTGTGTGTGTCTTTTTGTTATCCAATTATTCCGAGTCACTGGGCCAATCTCAACCAAACTTTATGGGATGATAATTAGGAACAAGGGGCATGTTAATAGTGGGCACACAACCCCCTCCACCCCAACTATCCCTGTTATTGAGTATTATCTTTGACACAAGTTAATATTAACTATATTCAAATATGGCACCACATCCTAAAACAAAAACTAAATAAATAAAGTTTATATAAAACAACATATACACAGTGTGGGGGGAGAGCACACAAACATCTTATATATATCTAAGAGAGTGCACTATGGAGGAATGCAATGAAAAAAGTGGCCACTACTATTGGAATACTACATAAACTCAGCAGAAGTTTCTATGCCAATAGGCACCATAAGGCTAATATGAAGAGCTGTTTCTTAAGTTATAACCACTTCCTATTTTGATCCATGACATTTAAACTTCAGCTCATAAGACACTTTTGTGGTCAATGACTGTCAATTAATTAATCACATACAACACTGTGGAAGGACATTAGGAGCAGAGTGTTGAAAGCACCCCTACAGTCACTACTTTGGCTGCTAGCAACCTCTTAATACAGTTACCCTGACCATCGCACAGTGTATACCATGTTTAAAGTATATACATACTGAGTTCTAAACCTTATACAAAACTTTTGGTGAGGTAATAATGAATACTGTAACCATTTGTTATGTTATAAATAAATAGTGTGAAAGTTAGGATTTTTGTGTTATTTATCATAGCATCCAACCCCAAATTTTTTAAGTTCATAACCCAGACTAAGAGCAGGTACCTCAGCTTGTCACACATAAAAAAGAATGGCAGCACGTTTTTTTGTTTTAATCTCAAATGTACTTACCCAGGGTTTGGTGGTTATTATTTGACATTTACTCTTCTTTTGGGGCTTTCCTTCTAATTTTCAAAGGGTCAATGATATGATCTTTGATTAACTTGCATGAGTTAACTTTGTTATTGCTATGTTACTGAAATTTTGTAACTTCAGTTTTCAGAGATGAAATGTTCAATTTTCATAGCAACAAAAATATTATTAATTCTCCTTTCTACTCTACAATGCTCAATATACTTTTTTAATGTAAACATCTACTTATAAAAAAATTACCTGCAAAATAAACTCTTATCACACTTCTCCAGATCTAACTCACCTCTGAGTAATGTTCATTGTTCTGTTGAAGTAGATCAACACAAAGTTCTGCAAGGTGAATCAAGTCATCGAGTTTCTTATTGGGAGGAGTAGATAAATCAGTGGTGGACTCTGTTTAAAATCAAAAACATGTTGAATTCATTCAGTTCTATAAAACAACAAACTGCACAACAATGTAATTATACCACAATATATGACAAACATGCTAACAATTTTGATAAGTAATTTTATTTTGTATGAAGGTTAATTCAAGATAAATGCCTTAAAATCCTGTCATGAGCATTCAAAACTAATCAGTCCAAAAATATTAATATGTGAAACATAAAATACCTTTGTTTTCATCCTAAATTTATAACTATTATCTTCTACCTGTTTTGTAGCAAACAGAAAATAAAATATTTACAAAGATTAAAAGCCTTTTCCTAATTAGTTAAAAAGCTCTGGAATTTTTTCTCTATGAATGGAAGGAAAGTAAAAATTCATTCCACTTTCAACATTGTGTGATTTACATGAATAAAAATTTTATATGCCTTTTGTAGAGCAGCACTTCATTAATTATGTATTAAATACTTAAATAATTAATAATTCTTAAAAACTGCACAAAATTTGTGTGAGATTGGGATATATGGATACTAAGAAATTTATTCACAAAAAAAGTATGTACCACTAGTGACACTACTTAAAGAAAAATGTCATGTATTATGTTCAATATAAGGCTTAATGTCTTGGTAGCATCAGAATGTGAGTAATGATCAAATTTTTATTCAAGGTTCAGTAACAGAGATCAACAAACTTCTTTAATACATTACCTATCATTACCACTGTATTTTTTACCTAGCACATTGTTAGATATAAACAACTGTTAATTTAACTATAGTGCAAGTTATTTTTAGAAGCAAAAGTTTATTGCAGGTTTGAAATGTAATTGGGATTTGACATAATGTTACTCGAACCATCTGAATTTTTCTTTTTGCATTAATTGAGTATTATTGCATTCTAATGTCTAGTAGTGTGTGGAGACTGTTATTGTTTGTGTGTGCGTGTATGTATGTAAGTATGTATATATATATATATATATATAAATACACACATACATATACGGGTCGATAAAGTTAACAGTTAAGAAGTAAGTTAAACAAAGTTAATAGAGATATGGACAAACAGAAGTTGACTGTGTTTGTAGGTTTAGCTGTGAGGAGAGTATCATGGAATTGTTGCAGACTGTATTGTAACAACAGAGTAAAGAAGAAGAATTTGTCTTGTCAATTGTGTTCTGAAGTAATTGAACAAACCAGTGTAGACTTTTGACAAAAAAGATAATTATTTAAAGCTTTGGATACAACTGTGGTAATTAACTGTGTAACAAACATTTGTATATACATTTGATTTGTAAGTACCCAGTGTGAGAAGGTCTAAGCTCCAAGCATGACAGACATGAAGGAGCAAATTAATAAATTCAAGTAACAAATTAATTCATATACATTATCTTCTTTACTCTCCTTCTTAACCAATCAGATTGAAAAAATTATAATCATAAGGTGGTTATAAAGGAAACACCACATTTAAATTGATTACATGGTTAAACCTACTTATTCCTGAATAAACCTTATTATTCTCAATGTGCTTATGGTGAAATATTGTTCCAATAGGACATGTAGTTTTTAAAATGTAAATACTTTAAATATGGAATTTTCTTTATAATCACCCTGCACAACAATAGCTAAGTAAAAACATAACCAACATCCACCAACCTCATGGGAATAAACAATTCTGATTATTTCTGAAGTAGAAATAGGTGTTTAAAAATATCTCTCAGTTATTCAAATAAAATATTAAAGCTCTTATAGGGTACTTAAAGTTATTAGTTTAAAAAAAATTAAACAAAAAAACAGCCTAACATTCAGTAATAAAATCATTTACAAAATTCAATTAAGAAAATCAAACTTGAAGTTCATTATAATCAAAGTTCAAATTACATAAGGAATTCTACTGCATTTTAACCCTTTCAGACCAGAGGAGTGTTGTAAATATCCAATTATTTATTTTCCTTCTTACAGAGGAGTGTTGTAAATATCCAATTATTTATTTTCCTTCTTACAGAGGAGTGTTGTAAATATCCAATTATTTATTTTCCTTCTTACAGTGCACAGTGGAAATACATAAACCTTTCAGACCAGAGGAGTGTTGTAAATATCCAATTATTTATTTTCCTTCTTACAGTGCACAGTGGAAATACATAAACAAATTGCATGAAAAGAACTTACTAAACAGTATATAACGAGTTCATGTAACGTTTTTAAAGGAAACTGCCAAAGTTCTCTTACAAGACACTGTTTTGAAAACATAAATTAAAATACTTCCTTTCATCTCAGAATTTAATGTTGATTAGAAAGTTCCATTTCATATATCCAATTATTTTCAACTTAACTGATGTTCATTGATGTGTTTATTTTAATACTATATTTTACTGAAAGTAGTAGTCATCATCTCTGACTAATTGTAAAAAACACTGGTAAGACAGACAAAGATTCAACAGTGGCCTAGGACTTGACTTTTCAAAATGGCATCAGAACAGAATGTCACAATATTTTTGGTCAAGATCAATTTACATTTAATACACACACACATGTAGACAGACAGATAAATTATAATATATTTTATTTATTAGGTTATTTTGAATACGATAAATGTAATAATAATAATAATATTCAATAAATAAGGATTTTAATTATCAGCATATTTTGCTGTCATCTACTATACTCTCAAACCTAACTAGGCTCACCTGACGTCTTATCACGGAAGAAAATTTCTGTACCCTCAAACAAATATAATTTAACAAAAACATTTTCAGGAACCAAATGAAAACCTGAAGAAACTATAAAAAATTTCCAGATCAATGGTTTGTTCTTGCGAATTCTAATCATCACACTAGATTTTACTGTTCTCTGCAAAAGCTACATCTAATCACTTTCCCAGGAAACCATACACTACTTCTTACACCACTTTACTGAATCTACATTGACATAAATAGTTTATAATCTGCTCTGTCCAATGCTACTTAAACTTTGCCTGTAGCTATTTTCAAAGCTGATCTTAATTATTAGTTGCTGAGAACACATGCGGTGAGATCATAATTGAATGGGACTAAGAGGTTTTACTAATAAAATCAGCAAAATAAGAGGAAAGTCATAAGAAACAAACATAGATAACTATATTCTCAGGGGATGATACTTTTTCAAAAAATATAAATCTATATTTTGGTATTGGCAGAAAAATTCTAAACTTTTTTGATAAGTACATCACTTACAGAGCTGCACAAAAAAGTAACTATGAATTTTTTTCATTTTTGTTTGTGAATACACTAAATAAGTGTTACAAAATGGCAAAATATCTATTCTAAACTATGACCGAGTTAAAAAATATTTGAAATTTAGAATTATTATTTTTACTTAAACTTTGAAAGTTGATATGAAGTGTGCAGTAGACACCTAAAAGGTGCTTTCTGGTCTGGAGAGGGTTAAACTTATTTAACTTTTATTAGATTTTTTAAATCTGTATTATAAGTAAACTTTTAAAATTTGGTTTGTATAGCAATTTTATAAATAATAATATCTGACTGTGAATAAGATAAATGTACATGTCAATGAAACTTATGTTTACAATATGACAACCTGCCAAATAAAAACAATACAGATTTAGTAAATACTGTATACTGACTTAAAAACTATTGAAAAATAGTTCACTGTTGAGTAAGAAGCAACGAATACTTAACCATCAATAACAGCTACACAAAGAAAACAAAAGCAGGCAGAGAAGTATTTAAAAATACTAACAGCTATACAGCAAAAACAAGAACAAGCAAAAGCAAAGTGGGTATACCTTGAAGCTGTGGAGGTGGTTCATTTCCAACTGCAAAAGTAGCAATGCAAAACACGGGAAAGATCAAAAATATTACAAACACAGAAAGACATAAGAGGCCAATTTTGTTGACATCACAAAGAAAAATTTATTATGTCTATAGATGAAAATGATTAGTAACATATATATATACATCTTCTATTCATATTAGGAAACCACATTCAATAACCATTAAATTATTTGATACAAAACAGCCTTAAACATTTACACATATTGAAACTTTGTTAGAAAGCAGCACATACATGCATATCTCTCCCACGTTAAAAGGTTTTAATAATTACCATTCTTCTCTACAAATTATATAAATAGTACATTACTGTACTCACTTTCAAGTTAGCTACTTTTATATAATGCTATGAAAAGCAACCGGTAAACCTAACTACCTATTTGTAAATACGAAGCTTAAGAAAGAACTCCTGGATTCTTTCAAATGCACTGTAAGAGACATATCCTGCTTAAATGTTCTACTCTGTTACTTAATATAAAAATTTTGGTGTAGGAAGGTCACACACAAACACACAAAAAAAGACTATAAAAACTCTTGCAAAAAAACTTGAACATGAACAGCATATACATGTTAAAGTATGATTTTAGCCCTCGATAAAAAGTCAACTTCACGGTTTGTTACTGCAAGCTGTAAAAACATTCTGTACTCTAAGCTCAATCTCCCTTCATATTTTACATACCTAACCTATTGCTAAACAATAATATACTTTAACAAACATTCAACTGCATTCTATTTGTATTACAACTGTTTATGTACCAGGCAAACAAAACCTCTATTCTTAGCAACTTTAATACCTAATTATCAGTAAATTGTTTCTTTTACAACTTTTCAAAAACAGTGTAACATTATAATTCACCCCAATAGAAGCAGAAACAAAACCAATTATCTACCTTCAATTTTTGTTTGTTCAGAAATGCGGGTGTAGTTGACTAAGGCAGCATTCTCTAAACATTTTTTTATAACTCCTCGAACTTCCTCTGGAGCGGCAGGAGTCATAACATCTTTCATAAGGACCTTAAAA